GATACAATAATTCGAAAAAGAATTCGGTGGCTTATAGGAAGGTTGATCCTCCCCATCAGCAACTCCACCATAACTCACCTCAAATGAATATTCGTCAAAGATCCATTTTTTTCTCAGTCAAGTTGATAATTTTTTTCATCACCACCGTTAGACCGAATTGAGAGTGAATCGGCGAAAAATGACACAGATACCCAACAATGTAGAGGAAAAGCAGAGCATAATGTGAATATCTAGGGTCTTTGTCAAGGGAGCAACAAAGGACAGTGTGTCGAAGAGCTTGAAGAGAATAATGGAAGTTCCCCAAGTGTGCTCTTCATCCTCCTCCCACTCAGTCCAAACTACTGAAAAAAAAATCATCAGCCGAGAAGACTTAAAATTCCATTCCATCGTGACACATTTTAATAATTCAAGTACTTCCCTCAGAGTTTTTCCCACCCCACGCTTGCAATTTACCCCCACAAAAACGATTGCTATTCCGTCATTTTTCTGGTATAAAAATTAAACCAAGGAAAAGACGATTGAAGATTAATTAATACTCTCGATCTTGAGGACTGAGGAAATAATAATTACTCGAGATAATTCAGGACTAATCGATTAATATCATTCCCTCCAGCAAGTAATTACCACTCAATTATATATTATTAATATAAAAAATATTAAATAATATTATATTATTTAATATTTCGTAACAAAAAAAAAATATTTGCATTAAAAACTCTGAGGGTAGTATTTACTGAGTGATTACCAGATTTACCATGACAGTATAAACTCAAAAAAAAAAAAAACCTTCAACTGTAGATGAGGGGATAGTTGAAATAAAAAAATTTATTTAATTATTTACGAATTTTTGAGTGATGGTGGTGGTAACGTCGTCCTGTGGTTCCACAGTGAAGTATGAGGGCCTGGGAGGGAATGCAATTTATAGATGAAAGATCGGGGAGGGGGAAATTTTGTGGTGATGAGAGTGGGTAATGGGGGCGGGAGGAATGAAGGGGTTGGTTGAAACGGCGGAAGGGGGGTTAAGCTAGGGGTGAGGGCTGAATGGGGTGGGGGCGAGGTGGAGAGGGGAAAAAGGGAAGGGGAAAGAGGGAAAGGGGACAATCTGAATTTTCTACGTTGGGGTCTCGGTCTCACCAGAGTATAAGCTCTGTCGACGCGCGCACTCCAAACGTGGCGAATGCCACACGGAATTTTCTTTATTTTTTTTCTCCAGTCTCGATCTCATCGCTGAATCGCATCCGTCCAAAGAAAAATTGAATATTCATTTTGCTATGTTGATGTGATAAATTATTTAATTATTTTTCATTTGATTTTTCATTTAAATCGCTGGTGGAAAATCGAGTGCGCGTGTGATAAAGTTATCGTTCGATTATTGAACATTTGTTTCGAGATATTTCGATTGTTCGAGGATTTGTGTGGTGATACCGCGGGAAACGAGGAGAGGAGCTGGGAGAATTAATTACGGTAATTGATTTGTTGTTTTTAGAAGTATTTTTTGGTTTGGAAAAAATGGGGCGACGCGCGAGTTTTTAATTTTTTTTGGGATAATTTTTGGTTTTGAATTTTTTTTTAGGAAAATTTTTGCTTTTTAATTTTTTTTTGAAAAATTTTTGGTTTTGATTTTTTTTGGGAAAATTTTTGGTTTTGAATAGATTATGCGGGAGATTATCGTGGGTTTTTCAAGCTCTCGTGGGATTTTCGGTTGTTCGATTTATCGATTGGCACAGGGAAATTGAGGAATGGTGGCGGAAATTTAATCTCGATATCATTAAATCGTATGTGTTATTGTTACTGTGAGAATTAGAATCGGATAATCGGTGTGCCGATTTCCCCGAAGGAACAAAAGCGACTTGGAGCCCGTGACCCAATTGTTCATGCTTGAATTGCCTTTATAAAACACCTAGTTTAATATAATAAAACAATAACAGTACTTTTATCATTCATGTGGGACCTTCACCCTTCGTCTTCGATTTATTAATTAAATTATTTCGATTATTTCTGTTCATTGAATTTACCAAAAACCGCGAGAGACTTTCAAATAAACTTTTCCCGCCAAAAAAAAATCATCCCCCGAAATTTCTAACAATTTAAAATCCCCCTTTTTTCAAAAGAATTACTAAAAAAATGTAACTCAAATAGAAATTATCATTTTTCATAATTTCAAAATTTCAAAATTTCAAAATTTCAAATTTTCGATTCCCGCGCACATTTTTGAGAATTAAAACCCCGCGACATTTCCTTTTTTTAACTTTGAGACCTAGAAATATGAATTAAATTTTTTAAGTAAAAATATTCGTTGAACATTTTGTTAGAAAAAAAAATCTATGAATGAAAATAAAAAAATCGGTAAAAGCCCAGGAAAATTTTCCTGCATGGATGACAGCGACTTTCTCGACTCGCTGGTTAGAAACTATTTATTTTTTCCCCAAGTAATCAGTCGGTACAAGGCATTACTTTGATCCCCAAGAGAAAAAGAAAATGATTTGCGTCGAAAGAGAAAAAGTGGAATAAATGGGAATCGTCTTCATTTGAATGTTCCCCCGGATTACATTTGAACGCTCGAGAGATCCCGTTGGGGACATAAAGTTGAATATCATAGAGCCCCCGAGGAGTGGAAAACACCTGGAAAAACAGCGGACGGGGTAAAAACGCTTAAACCAGAAAATCGGTTGAAAGAGTATCGATATTCGTTCGATCGTTGGGTACAGGCGGGTGACCCAGTTTGAACCGTCAGTTTTATCAGACTCCCAAGTGTCTTTTTCTCCCCATCTTCTCCCCATCTTCCCCCCACCTTCCCCCATCTTCCCCCCATCTTCCCCCCAATGGAATACCATTTTATCGTGCCAAAAGGGCGACAAAAAAAATTTCAACCACGAATATCAACGCCAAATCGGCAAAGAGACATTTGAATTACGACGGTTTCGCGCCAAAATGTGAAAGCCAATAGGAAAGGCGTGATCGTCATGACTATCAGATAGTTTTTATTAATTTTAAGGATTTACATCTTGATATCGGTCCAATCGTATTTATTTCTGTCTCAATCCTCGATTATTCTATCGATTAAAAGATCGATTGATCAAATCAGAAAATCGAAATTTTCTGGGATTTTTTTTCTTTCATGAATTCAGTCGTGGGATCGTTATCATCCCGAGTCTACCCTCGGCAAATAATTCCTCTACTCCCGAGAAATTAATATCGACTAGAATCTACAATTTTTTAAATTACAAAACATCGATCCGCAACATTTTCTCCGAATTTTTTTTACCGAACTAGGTTAAACATGGAGTCGCTGTTTATTCAGCGAAAGAATGCGATGATAAATGATTTACGAAGGAGAGAAATCTGGATGGATTTCAACATGATTTAAATATATTTCCATAACAACAGACGAACATCCCCTCAAAATGATCGACGAGTGTTTGCATTTTTGCGATGAGATTTGAATGAAAAAGGGGCACAATATCCCTCAAATAAATTTCCAGAAGACGGGATTCCCCGAAAAATGGGAAACTCATGGTATTTATTATTTAAGAAGCCTCTTAACACTCAGTTCCTCATTATTCCATTAGAAAATCGAGTACTGGCTCTCCTCCAAAGTCTTTTCACATTCCAATGACAGCGAATTTTCCGGTGAAAATTGTCTGCCAAACGACTCAAGAACTCATAAATCACTTGCATAATTTTTTCCTCTTCATCCTGGGGGTAAAAATTACCAAAAGTGGAGGTCCAACCGCGTAATTGCCCTAGAGCCATCGAAATCCAAAAATTTATCACCATTTCGAGGTCGATCCATCAAATCGTTCCGATATCGATCCTAAGCGATTCCTGATTTCGATATTTGTACGTCAGAATTTTTTTTTTCTGTCTAATTACCCTGAATTACGGTATATTAACCCGATAAAATAAATCTGAAATTTTTATTCTATTTTTCCAGTGCATTCCGCAAAAATGAGAGAAACAAAATGAAAAAAATTGAATTAACTAGATTTTTGAGAAAATGTTACGATTTTACAGATTTATCGAGATATTGGGATTAATTGAAGTAATTGAATTTAGGGAGGGGCTCGTCCGTTCGCTAGTTATCCAATTAATAATGAAAAAATTCGGTCATACCTTCTCCTCGACATTCTTTATTTGCATACGTGTTTGGGATTTCGACGACCAGAGGTTTAAAAACGGGATTTATACCGCACCTAACGGTCCCCTACAAGTGGTACTCAACCTGTCATTTTTTTGACACGAGAAAGAAAATATATTCTTCTCAAGTATTCAATGATTCTCCATTTTTTATAAATTCTCCATTTATAAAATAAATTCTCCATTTTTTAAATAAATTCTTCATTTTTTAAATAAATCCTCCATTTTTATAAATTCTCCATTAAAAAAAAAAATTCTCCATTTCAAATAAATTCTCCATTTTTAAAATAAATCCTCCATTTTTTTATAAATCCTCCATTTTTAATAAATCCCCCATTTCTAATAAATAATTAATTCAACTAATTCCACGTTGATAAATAATTACCACTTAAATTCAATGATAATACAATTGAATAAAAAAATTCCCGCGTTTTTCCGCCATTTTAATGGCACAGCGCCCCTAAAATGGCGGAAGATAATTGACTCTTCCCGTCGAGAATTAATTACAGTCTTATAAATAATTACACCCCAGATAAATCACGATGCATGTTGTAAATCAAATAGATGATCTTAATGAAATGATATTTAATTACACTAATCCTTACAAATTAATTATCAGAAGGGCGTAATAACCTAGAATAATAATCGAAACGTTGACTTCCGGGTCTGCCTCGGAAGACGGAATAATAAAAAATAGTATTGAACTATTATTTGAATAATTCGATTACCGATTTTATAATGTTATATTTATTGAATTCCACCTAGAGGATGATGAAATCGTCTGTTTGCAGGATATTAAAATGCTGGTGTTGGGAATAGTCCTGTGGCTGTCGTCCATGGTGACACAATCGTGCACCAGTGCAATTGGCCCAGAAACCCTGAGTGATGGAGAACTGGCGAGACATTACAATTCTCGTTATTCGATATTTGATGAGCCATACGGAATCGATTTCAAATATCATAATTACGAGCAGATGAGTCGCTTTCTTCGGGCAACATCGCTGCGCTTTCACAATCTCACTGCCTTGTATTCTATTGGAAAATCCTTCCAAGGTATGAACAATTAAGAATATATCTCCTGCTCCCTTGATGAAGACCCTAGATATTCATTATGCTCTGATTTTCCTCTACATTGTTGGGTATTTGTGTAATTTTTCGCCGATTCACTCTCAATTCGGTCTAACGGTGGTGATGAAAAAAATTATCAACTTGACTGAGAAAAAAATGGATCTTTGACGAATATTCATTTGAGGTGAGTTATGGTGGAGTTGCTGATGGGGAGGATCAACCTTCCTATAAGCCACCGAATTCTTTTTCGAGTTATTGTATCTCTGTATTCATTAATATTTATTTTGTTGAGAGATATATTTACGTTTCGAATTCCGTATTTATCCAGCCGAATTATCTAGAGACCATCCTCATTAGGTTTTAATTATCATGATCATGTTGCTCTCGAGGATGATTATGATGGGTATGACCTTGAGTGAACTCCTCCGATGGTTATTCAATTCGAATATTTTTATTTGAAAAATTTCCAAGATTTTTTTCATCTTCCTAATTACCGAGAGAATTCACTCAAACCTGTCATCAACGGAATCATCTCCGAGGGCGATATTATTATTGCAATTGAAAATTAACCAGGTACATACGGAAATTAATGAATAAATGAGTAAATAATTCTCGAGTGAATGGACTAGTGATGAGAATTAATTTTTTTACTGAAAATTTGTATCTCAGAGTGTTATTATTGAATTGTTTATTTAAATTTTCAGGACGAAATTTGTGGGTGATGGTGGTATCGTCTTCACCTTATGAGCACATGATCGGTAAACCTGACGTTAAATACGTCGCTAATATCCATGGCAATGAGGCCGTCGGACGAGAGCTCATGCTCCACCTCATTCACGTGAGTTTGTTTTTAAATTATTGAGAGGAATGTCGTACCTCCCGCCACAGCAAATGAATAAAAAAAAAAATTATCTAGGGCAGTTGTTCAGTGGGTAAATACCAATTTTTCCACAGGTCAACATTCCATCATTATTAATTATCGCAATCACGTTTTCTTCTCGACATTTTGCCCCAGAATCCGATATTGTTTAACTAAAAAATAGCAATAACAATCCTCGAGCATTTCATTATGAATATTTCATTTAAAATCTATCATCTGAAACGTGAAGACAATAATAAATAAATAATTACAGGTAGTTTAAATTATTTGGGACAGGAATTATGGGTGAAAGAAAAAAGGTGAAAGTTTAAGTTTTTGTTTGGTGTTGGAGTTGTTAATGTAATTAGCTTTTTAAATAATGAAGATGACCGGAAACGAATGGAGAATCAGTTATCCGTGAATAATACTTTGTCCCCTCCCTCTTTTTCGTTTTTTTTTTTCACGGAAAAAAATCGAGAAAATTACCGGATTGCGTAATACTTGATTGCCTTTTGACAGTTATTAGTTACGAAATATGGAAGTGATCCGTACATCACGTGGCTGTTGGACAATACGAGAATTCATATTCTACCTTCGATGAATCCGGATGGTTTCGAAGTGTCCAAGGAAGGATTCTGCGAGGGCAGTCAAGGACGGTGGGTTGATGTATTATTATCGAGGGTATTATTACTTGTGGTAATTATAGTGTCATCTCAGATCGAAAAGTTTTCATAATTAAATCGACCCGCAGATATCGATTTTTTAGAATTTTTTTTTTGAGGGGAAGTCGATAATTCGAGAATTTTGAAATTCTCGAAATTCTCGAAATATCTCGAATTATATCGGGATATCTCGAAATTATCGAATTTATCGAAATATCTCGAAAATCTCGAAATTCTAGAAATTCTCGAAATATATCGGGATATCTCGAAATTTTCGAAATATCTCGAAATTCGAATCGATATTTTTAAAATCATAAAAATTAGAGAATCATCGTAGAAACTGATAATGATTATAAATTATTATATAATGGCTAAATCGCAAACATTTTCACGCTGATTAAAAAAATAAACATTATTTCATTCAATAGTAAAAATATTAATTCAGAGAATTCCACGAAATAAGTGATAATTTCAATAGATCAGTGCCCAGAAACGCGTTGAAGTGAAATTGTAACTGAAATTTATTCACAAAAGGACCAACTGAGAACTATTTTCCATACCCCTCAAATAATTGGATCGAAACTCCGGAATTTCAGATACAACGCCCGTGGTTTCGACCTCAACCGCAATTTCCCCGACTACTTCAAGCAAAATAATAAGAAGACACAGCTGGAGACAGAGGCTGTGAAGGAATGGGTGTCGAAAATACAGTTCGTGATCTCAGGAAGTTTGCACGGTGGTGCCCTAGTAGCCAGTTATCCCTTCGACAACACCCCGAATTCCCGTAAGTTTATAACAATTTAATTCCTCCATTCAATAAATCCAAGGACCATTTCGCTGGCACTTTATAGCGATCATAACACAGTACCGCGATTTTTCCTGAGAATTCCCGAAGGAATTCCCACAATATCAACTAAAAAAAACGCCCCACACGTTTGTCTCGTCCTGATAAATAATGTAATGAAAATTTCCCGGGATTTTCCAGACACGACTCGTGTACCCCGTGAAATTGAAAATTCCCGAGCCTCGGAATTCCCGCGAGTCATTAAATTCCGTCGTGTTCTCCGCTCGATGCAATGATTAAGCAAAAAAAAAAGTGGATCCATTAATGCCAGCAGAAAGTGGAAGGTTAATAATAAATTAAATCCGCAGTTCCGGTTTTTCCTCGAATGAGTGGGGGATTGAGGAATTCCCCGTGACGTGTCGATTCCACACTCGAACAAAACAATAATTTCTCGTTCGCTTTCACCTTGCTGACCCCTATCCTATATGTCTCCTGACCCGGATTGATGTACCTGAATTAACCAATATACTGCACTCTACTCCACCCCCAACAATAACACCGATTGTTTATAATTTAGATCGTTTTTTTGTCCATCACAAAAAATATTGCTAATTTTTTTTTTCATGATTATTTATTTTTTTTTTTTGGTAGAGATAATTTTTTTTTCCCACTCCTGTTTTTTCAATAACTTTTCTTCGTTTTTCAACGTTTTTCATGCTATCAGGATTATGTCGATCAGCACCATTGTGCGCAAGTATGGATCAATTATCCAATTATTTCTTATTTATTAATTTCCCTCACACGAATATTGTTTTGTTGTGTGCCATATTTTTTTATCCGAAAATGTGTATTTCCCAGGTGAGAATCAATATTCATGATTTGGGGAATTCATATTCGAGATTTGAGAATTCATATTGCTCATTCGGGAATTCATATTCATAATTCGAGAATATGAATTCCTCATTCGGGAATTTGAGAATATTTATCCCTCATTCGGGAATTCATATTCAGGATTCGAGAATATTTATTCTTCATTCGGGAATTCATATTCAGAATTCGAGAATATTTATTCTTCATTCGGGAATTCATATTCAGAATTCGAGAATA